TTAGCAAGATTAGCTAAATATCAAAAGATTATCATAATGCGTTGAAAGTTTTAATTCGGATTATTGGAATAAAATATCAACAGTGTGGATAGTAGACATACTATTATCTACTATGTAAGTATGTTGCTATCTACTTCCGATTGCACTGTCAATTTACCTCCATCCCCGATTACATTATCGTCATCAGTCTCGGACGTGTCGGTGGCATTATTACTGCCATCACATTTAGGCTGTTCTCCAGCCTCAGAAGGACACTCCGATTCATTACAAACTGTCTGGGAATGGTGCCATAGTTTAGATAGCAATTCATATGCAGTGTCACGCGCAAGGAAGGAGGCGAAAAAATATTTAGTAAGGTGAGTTGTGATGAGAATGGCATTGGGTATGACGAATGCCGTCGTCCTTTTTTCAATAGCGGTTATCTCGTTGAAGGGTACTACAACCTGTGAGGAGAAAGTTTACAATTTAGCTACACAAGCAGGGAATGATTATCCTTTTCACAAGAAAAATTTTTAATATCCCTTTGCGATAAGAAACATTCACTTACAAAGCTAACCCAACCAAGTATGTTTGCGTAAAAACATAAATGATTAACAGATATGTACATCCTTCCGTGCGCCAATATTTCACGTTGTAAAGCGCAGCCGTAATCATTGATCAAATATTCCGTCATCGGGACGTCTTTGAACAATGTATGATAGTCTTTATTTCGCCTTGGACTTGCCATTGGATATCCGGTAATAACTGGTATACCATCAGCGACAACGATTGATAAATCAGCAACATCATCTTTTCTCTTTCGTCGTCGCTTCTCTTCTTTTGTAGTTGATATGGCTGACAAATTAGTTGACGTTAAACTTGGTGACGTGGAAGTGGTTGTCGTGGGAGTTTCAGTTGTTGGTGTGCTTGATGAAGTAGTAATGGCTCCAGTATCGACCATGCTTGGCGTTGTAGGAACAATGGAGGTATCAACCATAATGACGCTCTCTAAGGTAGTTCCGGTGTCAGTAACCGTCGGAGTAACAAGAGCAGCAGGAATGGAGGAAGGAGTAGGAGCAATGATATTATTAATATCAGTTACGTTCATGGCCGTGCTAGTAATATCAATTGTTCCTACTCCTGCTGCCAATTTTTCGGAATCTTTTGTCGTTAATTCCACCACCATAGTTTCGGTTGCTTTTGTTTGTGATAGGGAACCTTGAGAATTAGTGGAGGGTAATGTGGTGGACATGCTAACTCTCCGCGGCGCTTTCTTATCCTCTGAAATTTTGCGCGAAGCAAAAGGTAATAGGCCATTTCTCTTCGGTTTTGTAGACGCAACTGTTGATGAAGCAAGCGGCTCCGGCATAGAATTTGTATTTGTACTCTTAGATTCTTCTTTTGTATTATTAAATTTATGTTTGGAATTCTTGAGACGTG